TTGAGCGGAAAGCATTTTAGGCACGAAGGCGCACATATACCAAGAACATCCCGTTCATTTTCACGAGAAATGTCGCAAAGTCTATACTGTCACATATCTTCAGATGTGGGTCAGGAGAGCTACGCGCACATATTCTTGTTCAATGTATTATCGCGACATGGACTTCCTGACTAACATCTCGGACCAGTTTTGTTCCACCGAAACGCCGAATGCTCAGTATTATTGCTCTGTTTTGGCCGTATCGCACAATCGCCTCCATTCAGGGATACTGCCAATCTTGGTGCGATCGCCACATATGCGACGCCACTTGCAACAGTAAAGCCGCTTCTGCTATGGAAGTTCAAAAAGGTGCCCCTTCCACCCACACGGGGTACCCACACCCCTAAAGCTTTAGAAAACAATGTGATATTAGTGAGTTTTTTTATTACCGTCCTCTTTCCGAAATCGTCGACGGATCGATGGATGCGATGAGATGAACTTGTATGAAGCCGCTGTGAGAGCGATGCTGCATAGACTTGGACAGTCATACAGCCATCTGAAAATGGAAAAAAATAAGATAAACCTGTAGATCGAGCTGAAATATATGGTTTGAAAAGAAAAGTATACAAGATTGAAGGCAGTGGACACCATGGCTGGGGGCTGGCGGTTAGCGCCAATTTCATATGTGAAAGGGCGGAGTGAGGTGTGACCAAACGCTCTTTTGCAGCCCTTCCACCAATAAGGTTGGCAACAACCACCAGCCTGCTGCCATCGTACCCACTGCGTTCAAAGAGGTGGCAACAGCATCGATACAGCTGGGTGCAATAACTGTAACTGGCGCTAGGCCAGTTACCATCAAAATCACGAAAATGCCGAGTTATGTATGCAAAGAGAGGAGCTGGAAACAACTGGGGTATTCTAGGTTTTCCCGTCTTGAAATACGAAAAGTTAGGGCATTTTGGGTCCTTTGACTGGGAAGTAGGGAGGCGGGAGACTTACCTGCACACCAAACAACCACAACAGAAGCAACACCAGCAACCGAAGAAGAATGTCATTGTGAAGATACCCAAGAAGATCGTCAATTGCTCGCGAGTCTTTTCTAAACTTCTTGCTATGACTTGATTTTTCGAAAGTCCTCACAAATTTCTACCAACCTTTGATTATAGGCTCGTTGATCTCATCTTCCGAATCCAACAAAACCCGTATTACCACGACTACCATGAGGTTAACGAATGTAACCTAAATAAGAAATCGCTTGATCCCCCACGAGCAACGTTCGGAAGAGGTCATTCCAAATTTCTTTCCCTGATAGATCCACTTTGAAGACAGCTCGAAGGCTCAGCGTCTGCACTTCAACACATTGCATTTGCAAGTACGAGCCCAAGCTAGCAGAATATGTTCTATGGCTTGACACACTCCACTGTTACCTTATTGACACCATTATGGTGCTTGACGGAGCGCCAGCGCCGGATGAAGGCGTTCTTGCGTACATACGTTTTGGATCGGCGTCAGCAGTTTTCGGTATCAGGATATCTGCAACCCGGAGGCCTCCCTCCTCCCTTTTTCCTTCCTCCTTCCCTCTTTTTCTTCTCCTTTTCTCATCCCTCTTTCTTATCTTCTTTCCTGTAAATGCTCGAATAGAAGCTGCGATGAGAAAGCATCTCTCAACCCACGCAGCTAGAGAACACCCATGACAGATATCCCTGTTAACCGCAGTTTTCCACCTCTTGTTCCTGCGTACATAAGTTTTGGATCGGCGTCAGCAGTTCGTTGGCCTTTATGAGCGACATTGATGGAAACAGGCAGCCGGAGCGTCAACGTATGGACGCCTCCAACCGACGCTACGACAAACACTGGTGCGGGTGCCGCGCACGTGCTCGCTTGCACTGTCTCCCTCGCTGTAACTTGGACGTGTTCAACTACACATAATTTCGCTGGAGGAGGACTAATGGGAATAGCTCTTTAGTGTAATGCCCATCACATGTACCGCCTGCAGATTGAATAACTTTCGGGTTGACCGATTTCCCCACTGTTCCTAGTACTGTAATAGGTACCAGATTTGTTGGAGACCTGAAGGATAAGCTGATTGGTCCTTACGAGTCCTTGTATGATATAAGCTGAATAATAGAAGTTGGATGTTTTGACGATTATCAGTGTAGAAAATGTAAGCAGAGTAAGTGGCGCTCCATAAACTTTTTTTCCTCGTAAGATTTTACTGTTCGACCCCACAACGGTCTAATTTTAACAGCTCATTACTATGTCAACAGAGTGCTCAGAAGGTTCTTATCGGTCCACTGGTGGATGGTCGAGGCAAGCACAAGCGGTTGTACAGCTTGGTACGAGAAGCAAAAACAATATTGACAATGGAATGTGGGAATGTCCTTTTGATGCACTGGCTTTCTTTTCTGAGGAAGATCAATTATTTTGTTTGGTAAGCATGTCCTTTATTTTGATTTTTATTTACCTAATTATGCAAGTGGAAGAACCGGAGGTGGTGCAGCAGCAAGAGGAACGCCTACAACTCGTGCGGTCCGA